TGAAGAGGGTTGCAGAAAAACCTGGAAAGACTTGTATGAACTCATGCATAGTGAAATGAACAGAACCAGGAAAATAATTTCTAGAATGACAACAAAATAGTAAGGCAAAAAACTTTGAGAGAATTAAGAACTCTTTTCAGTATAATGACACACCATGATTTGAGAGGACTAATGATGTGTTAGAATTCAAGACAAATTTTTTGTACGTGGACAATAAGGAAATTTGTTTTGATCAGCTACACATTTTTCTTATTCATGATATATTAGGGTAATGGGGGCAGAGTTTGGAGTTCAGGAGGTCACCAAAGGAGTTGTCATAGTCATATAGCTCTCTAGTGATGAGGAGGCCTAGGAAAGAGTGCTGGAGGGAATTAGGGAGAAGGGACAGATTCAAGAGAAATTTCTACTGGAGATCAACAGGATATGGTAACTAGATATTGGGGATGAAGGACAGGTCTGAATCAAAGACCACATAAGCGTTTAAGTGTGAGTGACTAGGACAACGGTGTCAGAATGACCTTTCTTGCCTCCTTGTAATACTCTTGAGTCTTCTGACCTTGTTCTGACCTTGCTATGTGCGTAAAACATTGTTAGTATTTCTCTCCCAAAGGTTTTTGAATCAGGATGTCCCGCAGGGCTCTCTTCTGGTCCGTCTTCACTTCCCTTTGAGATGAATGAAAAGTCCAAGAGACATAGTTTCTGGGTAATTAATAACTAGTTTATTAATTAGGCTAGCAGATAATAAATTGAGGTTAGTAGTTCTCTTAGAAACTGAAGACCCCACATGGTGGTCACTTGAGTGTTTAAATATCTTTGTAACAGAGGATGTCCCTAAGGGTGGTGATCAACGCTGTTTGGTTAAGAATTAATGATAGAATGAATATTATAATGAGAGGTGGGCTTATTCTAATGAGGTGCTGGGGGATGTGACTGATCATGTCATCACTCTTGTACTAAGAGACTCATCTCAAACCAGACCACTCCAATCTCAGGCTATCTAGACATAGCAATCCATCTCCACCTAGTCTTACTTGAGTAGAACAATGGGCTGGAATTCCCCTAGATTAGATTTTCTTTACCCTTTAAGAAATAAGTTCTTGCAGTTGGGTGGGGTCCAGCCCAAGATTGAGGAGAAGGTTTCATTTTCAGCCCTGTTTTTCACAGGGGAGTAAAAAGACTACTAATAACTGACCTACTAATAATTGATTGTTAATAATCAAAAAGAGGATCTTTGGGTTCTGTATATAAAATTGGTTATTAACATAATAAGAAAACAATAATTTTCTCACCTTTGTACTATTTCATTTGGTAATCTCATCAGTTCCCTTGGATTCAGTTATCCTCTTGATGCAAACCAATGCTAATTTTTCTGCTGATCTCCAGTCTCATCTCCAGCTGTCTGTTGGACATCTTGAATTGCTTGTTCTGTAGGCATCTTAAATTCAACACATAAATATGAATTTGTTATCTTTCCCTCAAAACTCTGTCTTCTTTCTAACTTCCCTATTATTATTGAGCGTATGGCCATCCTGTCAGTCACCCAGACTTGTGACCTAGACATCATCCTTGACTCCTCCCTCCCACTTTATATTCAATCTTTTTTTTTCAATTCTTTTTTTTTTTCTGTTACCATATCTTACTGATTTTTGTAATATCTCTCATATATGCACCCTTCTCTCCTCTGACACTGCTACCACCCTGGCATAGGTCCTCATCACCTCAGGCTTGGACTGTTGCAAAAGGCTGCCACAAGTGCCTGTCCCACACCATTTCTCAACCCCTCCCGTCTAGTCCATTCTTCACTCTGCTGTCAAAGTGATCTTCCTAAAGCACAGGTCTAACAATGCTACTTCCCTACTCATTGAATCACCTTCAGGATCACATATAAAATCCTCTGTTTGATATTCAAAGCCATTCATAACCTGCCACCCTCCCCACCCCATCTTTACAGTTTTCTTACATGTTATACTTTTTCATCACCACTGCCATAATCCCCCATAAACTTTGTGATGCAGGGACACTGGCCTTCTTGTTATTCCTTGTATAAGACATTCCATCTCCCAGCTCTGGACATTTTCACTGACTCTTCCCCATGTATGGAAATCTCTTCTTCCTCATCTCTACCTCCTGGCTTCCCTGGCTTCCCTCAAGTCTTAGCTAAAATCCTACCTTTTACAGCAAGCCTTGCCTTCCCTTAATTCTAGCACCTTTGCTCTGTTGATTATCTCCAACTTACCTTGTATGTAGCTTGTTTGTAGATATTTGTTTGCTTGTTGTTTCTCTCGTTAGATGGTGAGCTCCTTGAGAGCTAGGACAGTCTTTTGCATTTCTTTGTATCTCCATCAGTTAGCACAGTGCCTGGCACATAGTAGGTACTTACTGAATATTTATTGACTGATAGATTTCCAGCATTTGGTTTCCTATTTTATACATTTATTTTATTACTTTAACTTCTTGCTCTGATATTAAGTGTCATAGCCAGAATTCAAACCCAGATTTCTGACTCTTAAATCCATTATCTGTTGTCATGTTGTAAGTAAGGCAATGTGCTAGGAATAAAAAGACAAAACTGATGTAGTCCATGCCCTAAAGAAGTTTACATTTTACTGGAGGGACACAACATGAAGTAAATACAAGATTTTCTCTTTCTCTCTCTCTCTGGACCAGACCTGTGATTTCATTAGTTTAATGAACTCATGATGAAAACTCTTTCTGATGATGCAAATCAGCCACAACCTTGCAGCTTAGTCACTTAAGAGACTTGCTGGGGGTAATAAAAGAGCAAGTGACTTATCCAGGATCATTTGTGGCTGTTATGTGTCAGAGGCATGATTTGAACGAAGGCGTGGCCTGATTGAACCAAGTCTATCCATTATACTGTGTGTGTGTGTGTGTGTGTGTGTGTGTGTGTGTAGATAAGTATATACATGTAGATATGTGTTTATACACACACACACACACACAAAATACAAAGTAATTTGAAAGTGTAGCAGAGACTAACAACTGGGGGAATCAGTAAAGGCCCTTTTTAGAGGTGGCAGTTAAACAGAACCTTAAAATGTGGGCATAGTGAGAGTTCCAAAAGTCTTCAAAGTGAAAAATGAGAATATTCCCTGAATGAGGGAGATGGCTTATGCAAATGCAGAAAGGCAGAGTATGGAATGTCAATTATGTAGCACAGTGCATGAGCCACTTTGGCTGGCATAAAGAATGCATGATGGAGAGTAATATAGAATCATCCTGGAGAGAGAGAGATTACAGTCAGAGTGTAAAGGGTTTAAAATCTGAAACAGAGGACTTTATGTTTTCGTAGAGACAATAGGAATCCACTAAGAGTGACATGGTCACACTTTTACTTTAGGAATGGCAATTTGGTTTGTGTATGGAGAATGGATTAGATAAGAGAGAGGCTGGATTCCTGGAAACAATTAGAAGGCTCTTGTACTAATCTATGCAAGAGGTAATAAGGGCCTGAAGTAGGACGGTTATGGTGTGAATAGAGAGAAGGAATTCTGGAGAGAGATGTTAGAGGGATAGAATCTACACGACATGATAGCTTAGTTCAATCAAATTTAGAAATCTTTTTACAAATGGATGTCTGGTTAGTAATATGTTGCTTTAAATGAAGTCATTTCCTCTCCCTCCTCAGGATTTGTGATATTACTTAATAAAAAGTGAAAACATTAAAGTTTTACACAAAGTAAACAACAACAGGAATTTTTAAACAAAAATGATATGTCATTTGAGTGATGAATTGATGTCAGGAGAAATGATGAAAACCTACTGTTTGTATATAGTCATTGTTGACACACACAGTCTTCTTAAAATAGTTTCATGAAGTAGAGGCCATGTTTTTCCTTTTGCTATCTTTTGTGTTCTCCAAATGAGGTGACTTTTAAAAAATTTCATTCCTCTCCATCTACAATTAGGTTAACAATATAAAATGCCATTGATCATTTCCTCAGGCTTCATTTCCAGACACTGTAACTCATTAGAATTTGGTGGAGAGATTTATAAAAGATTCTTATGCCTGTGACTATTGCATTCTAATAGATCGTGTTAAGTTTTCTTAATGTGTGAATGTAAAGTATATCTTAGAATTTGTTTAAATCATAATTTCCTATACCCTGAGATTGAAAAGCAGTTGACAGAGATATGGATTGTATTGATTTTCTTCTCAGTTTCATAAGATTTCAAAGGAACCTTCTCCTCACATGTTTCCTGAATTCTCACTTCAGTACTCTTTGACATTCTTGTTTCTTCCCTATTATTATCCCTGCCAAGCTCAGTCCTAGCTTATTGTGGTGAGACTGATGTTCTGTCTCCATTGCTATAGATCTGAGGACATTGCTGTTCTGACATCAATAAGTACATAAAATTTAAATATAGCTAGAAAATTTTCAAGCTGGATTGTGATAAAGAAAAACATTCATGTAGAGTTGCACTTAAGGTCTCCCAAAAACCTGTTATTCCATATTTTCCCATAGCTCACCCTCTGTTCTGCTGCTCAACTCTTAACATCTTAATAGTGGCATTTTATCTTTGTCAGGGATACATGCAAATACAGAAGATCTGTAGTTTTGTCAGCACAAAAGTATTCTCTGGAAAGTATGGAATTTCCTTTACCAGCACAGATTGCAAACTGTGACTTACTGGTTAATAATAATCTTAGTTGCTTAAGAAGTTAAATGACTTACTCAAGATTATGCAGCTAGTAAGTCTCAGAAATTGTATTTGAATCCAAGTCTTCTCAACTATAAGTCCAGCAATCTTATCTACTATCCAACAAAATTTTCATTAAAATGGGAAAATGTCTAGAACAGAGAGAGCAGAAGTCAAAAGAAGCTTCTAACTTCAGTTGTGTGCTTATGGCTTCTTAATAGCCCCAGTAACCTCTGGGACTTTCTGAGGCAGTTTAGGCTCTGTATTTAAGAAAGACTATGATAGTGAGTTTATGTGAGCACTTTTTTGATCTGGTTCTTTGTTCATGTCATCTGCAGAACCTTGCGTCCTGGGATCCCTCGAATCCTGACTGCCTTCTGCTGGTGGTGAAGGAGCTTGTGCAGCAGTATCACCAGTTTCAGTGTAGCCGCCTCCGTGAGAGTTCTCGTCTCATGTTTGAGTACCAGACGTTACTGGAAGAACCACAATATGGAGAACACATGGAAATTTATGCTGGGAAAAAAAATAACTGGGTGAGTCTTCAGAAGAAATAAACTATTAGCAAAAACTTAAAAAAGAATATTCTCAGAAATCCTTTCTTAGTAAATATTAGTTATCATGTTGGATATAGTACTGGACCTGGTATCAGAAAGACTTGAGTTCAAATTCAGCCTCAAGACACTTAATAACAATGTGACCCTGGGCAAGTAAGTTAACATTTCCTAGCTTCATTTTCCTCATCTGTAAAAAGGGGATAATAATAGCATTTATTTCTCAGGGATGGTGTGAGAGTCAAATGAGAAAACATGTATTCGGAACTGTGTTTCTTTAGAGTGGAGGTTCTTAGCCTGGGTTCTGTGAACTTTTTTTTTTTAAAGTATTTAAAAATTATTTTGCTTTGTAATGTTCTTTATTTTATTTTATTCATTTTAAGTACACTATTCTGATAAGGGGTCCATAGGTTTCACCAGACTACAAGAGTGGTTCCTGACACACACATACCCACCAAGGTCCAGAAGCCCTGCTTTAAAGATGCTGGTGTTTCAAGATCCATAATAGTACAAAATCAGAGAGGAGGTTATTTCTATTTACAAGTTGTGTTGTGCTAGCAGATATCTTGGTGTCATTGAAAGCACTGCAAGTTTATATGACATGTTTGTTCAAGATGATTTAAATTTATTAAATGACTGCATGTATAAGAGCAATTTTTAACATCGTTGTATTCCTAATGATAATGCTACCAGGATTGAAGAGCCCTTTGCACACAAATAGTGAACTCATACATGCCATTATAGGTTGTGTGCTATAATAGGAGCAAAACCTAAAAGACTTGTACTTTATAGTCACTGAGTCTTTAAGAAACAACACTTTCTGGCTTAGAGAACAGTATGCAAATATAGAAATTATTCTCTTTTTATTATTCTGAAACCTCAGTGTTGATTTTTCATGCTTTATGTTTTGATTCATTCCAGTTAAATATAAGACTTAGGAAAACTAAACATATTTGAAAAGCAAAATCAGAGGGCATTAAATTCTTTTAGTTGATGTGTTAGGTAAACACATTTGTTTGAAATATAAACAATCTAATTAATGACTGATAATTTTTCTTTGCTATGGACATTAACCTAATAGTGATATATATAGATAAATAGTTGTGCAATACAAGGTCAAAAACTAATTACATTTGCCTCAGTTCAACAGTTATTTATTCATCTATGTTGTTTAATTCATTATTCTGGGGATGAGGAGCTCATGGGGAACATGATACAGAAATGACTAAGACAGTCTCTGCCTTGCATAGGAATAAGCATTTATGTAGTACCTGCTGTGTGCCAGGTACTATGCTAAGCATTTTATAAATATTTTCTCCTTTGATACTCTGCCCTGTGAGGTATGTACTATTATTTCCTTATTTTACAGTTGAGGAAAATGAGGCAAATAGAAGTTGAGTGACTTTCTCAGGGTCACACAGCTAGTTAAGTGTATGAGGTTAAATTTGAATTCAGGTCTTTCTGACTCCATGCCCAGTGTTTTATCCACTTTGTCACCTACCTGCCTGTTCTGAGAATTTAGTGTTTTAGAAAAGGTAATAGAAGGACCCCGGTCTTTATAATATACATATTAGAATCTGTTAAATATGTAAGATCATTCAATAACACTTTGGGGAGGAGAAATTACTTATAATAAGGTTAATCAAGGAAGACTTAATTGAGAAAGCTATTCTTGAGCTGTTCCTTGAAAGATAAAATTTTGATAGTCATGGAGTTAGAAACAATTAGGTAGGAGTAGGGTGGGCTCCAAGTATAAGGGATGGAATAACCAAAAGTACTGAAATGGGAAAGGACAGAATTTGTTTGGTAAAGAGAAAGTAGTTCAGTTTTATTGGAATAAAGAATTGTGAAGGGGACTAGTGAGAGATAAAACTGAAAAGATGAGAGTACATTGTCTCCAGAAATTCAGCTTCCTGCAAGATCAAATCAGCTCTGAAACTCAATGTCTCTTTTGTACCACTCCCAGCCTCCCTGTACTTCTCTCTCCCCCTAACTGTAGCGAGCTGTGGGTAGACATTGAGAGCTGCTCCCAAATCCTCTATGTAAGGGAAAGCGCTCAAGGCAAAGAATGCATCATTCCTCCTTAGCTGTAGGATTTCATCATACTCCTGTGCCAGTACCCTTCCTTCCCTTCCTCTCTCCCTCCCCCTTCATTTTCAACTTTTTTTATGTTGTTCTCCCTCATTAGATTTTGAGTTTCCTGAGGACAGGAACTATATTTGGTTTCTCTTTGTGTGCCCAATGTTTAGCGTAGTCCCTCGCACACAAGAGCTTGATAAATGTTTATTGACTGAGTCTTGAATACCATTAGGAATTTGAATTATATTCAGGAAATATTGGGAAGCCTGTGAAGGTGTTTTGGGGGGAAATGATATCAGCATTTGTTATTATTCTGCTTCAACTATTCAGTTCTTAAATACTCAAGTGGATCTGTAATGTCATTAGTTTAAGAGTTCTCTCCAACAATGCAGATCACGGTCCATTTATACCTGCCTATCCTATGAAACTCTTGTCTATGTCCTTCCAAAGGTGAACCTGAGGAGTTCTATTTGTTATGTGAAACCCCCCCCCCTTTTTTTCTCTTTACTTTCGAACTCATTTTGCCACAAAATACAGTAAAAATTTTAAAACTAATTTCTTTTCAAATCAAGAACTGACTATTTAGAAATGTGATATAGTACAATGCCAAATTTTTGTTAGAAAATAGTGGGTTTTAGTTTTGTCCCTGCAGTTTACTATTACTACATCTGCTGCTGCCATTATCACTGCTTGACAAATGTCAAATGACAAAATTTAGGATTTAGATTTTAACAAATGCTTTACTACATTTTCTCCTTTGGTTAGTTCCTGTGTTAATAACTTTGGGCAAATTTCTTAAACCTTCTTTTCAAATGAGATGAGAATAAATGAGATAAAACACTTTGTAACCCAAAACATAATAATAGTAGTGCAAACATATAAGTAATGCTTTAAAATTTACAAGGCACTTTTCATACATAATCTCATTTGATCAGCTAATATGCTTTTTTCTCTTTTTTGGTGAGGCACTCAGGGTTAAGTGACTTGCCCAGGGTCACACAGCTAGTAAGTGACGAGTGTCTGAGGCTGGATTTGAACTTAGGTTCTGATGCCAAGGCTGGAGCGCTATCCACTGTACCACTTAGCTGCCCCTAATATGCTTTTTTAAGAAAAAAATTCTTATGACAATATTTTCTGTAGTCTAGACTTTTATTTATTCTACTGCTATAGTCTTAAGACTAGATAAGTTCCACAGATAGTAGTTATTACCAGGAGTTACCTAGATAAGCATAATCCAGGCCTTTGTGACTGGAAAGTTTTTTTTTTTTTAAAGAAAAATTGACTAGATTTTCAATTCCTTAGGCAGTGGGGCCAGTAATCAAAAGAACATGAGCTAGAAATCTGGAGACCTGAGATCATATTCTTACTGTGTTGGAGGCAAGTCACTTTGGCAAATGTTGTAATCAGTTTTTTATCTATGAAAAGAAGATTATAATAATTTATCTACCATGAAGATCAAATATTCTGAAACAAGAAAGAGGAAAAGCACTATGCAAATGAAATATATGCTTATTTTCTACTTTCTTTAATGTAGAGCACTATGAACACAGTAGGTATTTAACATAAGCCCATTTGCCAACTGACTTCCTGCGTAATTTCCTTGAAATGACTTTTTGTCTTTTTTTGCAGGCATTTGGGGTTAAGTGACTTGCCCAGGGTCACACAGCTAGTGACTGTTAAGTGTCTGAGGCTAGATTTGAACTCAGGTCCTCCTGACTCAGGGCCAGTACTCTGTCCACTGTGCCATCTAACTGCCCCTGAAATTACTTTTGAATAAAACAAAGTGCCACGAAATGTCCTGGTCAAGTTGGAGATAAGTTTATGTTTATATTCAGCAAGCATTTAATAGAGTGCCTTAAGTGCCTACCTCCTATGCTAGGTATTTTGAATGTCAGGTTAAAATAATAATACTTTATCTCATTGACCCATCAATAAGCTTATGAGGTTGGTAGGTAGATAGATGTATTATTCTAATTTTGTAGATGAGAAACATGAAGCTTATAGAAGTTAAATAATTTTACCAAGTTTTCACATTTGGTAAGCAGCAGAGCTAAGATTTAAACTAGCACTTCTGAACATATCCAGTGCTGTATAAATATTAAATAAGAGAGCTAAGTTTTGAATCCAGTCCTTTTGATTCTAAACGAAGAGCTCTTCTGCTGCCCCAAGTTGCTTCTCACATTTAGGTCTGAAAAATCTTTTAGCTGCTGCCCTAGATCACTCATATTCCTTAAAAGCTAACAGCATTTACAACACTCTTCCATTCAGATTCTTGAATTTTCAGGGGCCATCTAATCCAACTCATACTGGAAAAACAATATACCTGACAATTTGTTATCTAGTTTGTCTTTGAAGACCTCCAAAAAGGAGAAACCCAGTGCCTCCTAAGGTAGTCAATTCTAGTTTTGGATAGCTCTAATTGTTAGGAAATAGTTGTTGGTGTTTTGTTGTTTTTTTTTTTTACATTGAGTCTAAATTAGCTGCTTTGAAAATTATTCCTTCTGCCTGTGTCTGCACCAGTTGTTCCTGGTTGTTCTCTCTGAAACCAAAGAGAAAAAGTCTAATCTCTCTTCCATATGATAGTCCTTCATGTACTTGAAGAAATCTATTACAGCCTCTCTGAGTCTTTTTTCCAGGCTAAAATCTCCATTTCCTTTATGTAGTATGAATTTGAGGCCCTTCACTATTTTGATTATTCACCTCTGCCTGCCCTCCAACTTTTCAATGTCTTTCCTAAATTGTGTCACCCAGAATTAAATACATTACTCTAGTAGCGATATGCTTAGGGTAGAGTACAGTGTAGTTCTTGTTTTTTCTCAAAACTCTGCCTCATGATTCACTAAAACACTCCAGTGTTTTTCCTGACAAGCTTCTGTCTAAACATGCCTCCTTTGTCTTGTATA